CACACACACACACACACACACACACACACACACACTCAAACACACACAGAAGCACAAGCACAAACACAAACACACACCCACAGACAGAGAGAGAGAGAGAGAGAGAGAGAGAGAGAGAGAGAGAGAGAGAGAGAGAGAGAGAGAGAGAGAGAGAGAGAGAGAGATTAAGAGCAGGGCATTTGACAGTGCAAATATAGGGTCTGGTTGAATCTCATGAAGTCACATAAGTAGTTCAGGTCATCATTCAAATTAGACCAACAGAAAGTTGATGTATGTCAATGGGCTCTGCATTTAACTATTTTGTTCCTTTCCTAAGAAATTATAGAGGCCATAAAGAGAAGATCCTAAAAGGAAGACGCCAATTGTTGGGCTGAATGATGGGTAGACCATCTCTACAGCGAATGCATCCCACTCCTCAGGCAAGAATCCCGAAACTGCCAAGACTAGTCCTTCTACGAAGATGGCCAGAAAGAGGAAACCCAGACCTATAACAGCTGCCGTTTCAACCTCTCTGGCAACAGCACTGCTATCGCCGGCCTCAGAACCAATCAGCGGAGCTTCTGGAGCCGGTCTCCTTGCACTACCTGTTTTCTCCTTTTGTTCTCTCGTTCTCCTGTCCCCTGCGCTATCTGTTTGCCGCGTCACCTCCGCTGGCACTGCTGCCCCCTTCCGCCCTCGTGGTGGTAGGGCCCAAATCCTACCCCTGGTTCACTACTGGACCGTTTATGGGCACCATCCTTCACCACTGTGCCACTGCCATTTCCCGCCTGTCCTCGTTCATTGGCAGGTCTATCCGTTTGTGTGGGGTCACTGGTAGCCAAGACGATCGAGAACCGCCGAGATAAACCTGACCCGGTTTGTAGTGGAGAGGAAGTTAAGGGAGGTAGAAAGGGTATCCTTGACATCTGGGACCAACTGATTGCCTGTGGCATCATCCCGACCTCTGCACTGGACCTCATCCTCATCCTCAAGGCAGTATGGCTGCATACCAGACAAGCTTGTGCTTCAACAGGCTTGTAGCTGGAGATGCCATCTCTGTGGAGAGCAAAACTAGAGATCAACTGGCACACCAACTAGGCTTCTCTCTGTCGCTGATAAAATTGACGCCATTGCCCCGCCCGCTTCCCCCCCCC